TTTCAAATAATCCAATATAAGGACTCAAAATTTAAAAGAAGTTGTCAAAAGATCTCATATTCATCCAAAAATTTCCATTAGTGAAAGTGAAAAATGAATTTTGGTTTCTATTAAAGTCAACATATTTCAACTTAAGTTGAAGTTTGTATCCAGTCAAAACACATTAATCAACACTCATATGGATTTTGTAAGTTAAATTTCACAAAAAATCAAAATATTTCTTTGAACTAACGGAGTTTCAATGAAACTAGAAAGAAATGATAATTTATTTTTTGCCAACATTCTTTATAAAACTACTGGAAGATAACTTAAAGTAACATAAGTGATTACTTCAAACCTCAATGTTGAAAGATGTAACAAATGATAATTTCAAATCTAAACTCTCTCATAAAAAAATATAATTTGTCAGTTTGCATCATAAAGTACAATGAGGAAAATAAATGAATCTGAAATAATCCTTCTTTGACACATTTAATTATATTATAAAAGTAAATTAAGATTTAAAAACTCAATCCTAAACACACTCCATCCAATAAAGTTTTGCCTTGATTCAATGAAAATTATAAAATTGTAACAAATTTGAAATACATGATTTGCATAACCTCTGGTATTATACTCAATGGTTGATTGATATTTTTTATGAGACACTAAGGATGAATTTAATGAAATTTTTTAGAGAGCAAAAGAAAAACAATTGTTGATAATCTACAAAGTTTGAGAAGTGATGGACAATTCAAATATAATGAGCAACAAAATTTTCATTGTAGAGTTTCAATCAGATTAAGCAATCATATGGAGAATAACGAATGAAGATAGAGCTAAAACAAATGCAAAATAGTGATGAAGATTGAAGTGCAACTACACTTTGAAGATATCTTAGTAATTGATGTACTAAGAAATAATTGGACGGTGGTAAGAATGTGATAATTGTAAATCTGGAGTCTCTTCAACTATTTATGATTCCATGTCATCTTCACTCCAATTTGATAATACTTCAACTCTGAAATACACTTTATATGATATATGGTTGAAACATTTGGAATCTTATAAACACCTTGATCCTATAAAGCTAATCCAATCCCATCAAAGTTGATATTCTTGATTGCATACACTAAGATTTTATCTTCATTCATCTAGATCACATCATCTCATCTCAATCCTCACTCAATTACTCACACAAGATGTTGATACTTGTCATCTACTCTTCCATTGAGAGATGACATTTATCATCTTGTGTGAATAGTTGAATGAAGGTATGAAGCAATAACAACGAGACATTGTACTCTAATTATAACTCCATTTCATCTTCATTTTGATTTAATTACTTCCATCTCTACATCATGATGTATCATAATGTCTAAACTCTTGGAGTCTTAACATCCTTCCAACTACCAAGACCTGTACAAAGATTCACTAAGATTGTATCTTAGTGAAGAGTGAATAATTTTTTGAATGACACTAAGGTATGATCATTCTTAATTAAGTCACAACGTTCATATAAATAGATACGCTTGTTATCATATTCTACTACTAGTAACGTGACAACACAATAATGGCTTATGATACCAAATCTTTTTATTTTTTTGTATATTTAGAATAAAACATTAATTATTGATGAAAACATGTCAATCCATCATACTTTTTTATGATTCAAAGAAATTTAAGTTTTTATGCTTATTTTTATCCATCTCTTGTAATATGCTTGCATATATAGAGTATGAAAATACAATCATTTTGGATCAATCTTGCATTCATGTGACATGACTTAAGATATGAAAAACTTAAACTTAGGTATATAATTTAAATTTGGGCTCTTTGATGTGCTCAATTTTTATTATTATGTTGGATAATGAAGAGTGTTGAGGCTAACTCCAGGCTATAGCTATTTATAGCTAGAATGATTGCCTAGGTTAAATAGCTCGGCTACAAAGAGTATTTGCGGATTTGACAGACCTGAGTAAGAGATTCACGTGTGTGAGTTTTGTCGGTAGACGTAGCTATCTTGAGGGTGAACACGATATATGTTGGTGTCTCACGTTTATAAGTTGGTAGACGTAGCTATCTTGAGGGTGAACACATTATAGTTGGTGTCTCACGTTTATAAGTTGGTGGGTTTGCTTCAATGTTTCACTATATTTCTTGGTTTTACGTTTACAAAGAGAGCTATTTTTCAGACCTCACTTGATCTGAACTATGCTCGCGCTTATGTGGGATCTAATATTAGAATAAGTTCTGATCTGTAAGTGAAATGGGAAAACTACTAATACCACGTGCAAGCTACTTCCAGAGTAATTGTGAGAACCTCAATTACATTGAGATTTCCGAACTCTTGCAAGGGATTTTGCAAGAAGATGTGCAGCGAGCAGCTTCCTCATCGTGAGGAGCATGAAAATCCATGGTCGGTAAAACTATAGGTCATAGTTATACTGAAATGACAAGATAATAGATCATACAACATTCAAACATCCACACGACAGAAATCTTTACACCATCTATCTTCATCGATATAAATCCATGAGATATAACAAAAGTTACATAAGCTACACTCTATATGTATGCAATGGAGGTAATCGAAGAAATATTTTTTACCGATGATGACAGAGGGTTCTGTTGAAGTGTCATGTCCAGTGAGCAACTGGACAAACTTTATATAAGACTAAATTGAGTCTTGACTTGTGGTTATATTTAGTGAAGTGACTTCATTATATTCCATGCTCATTTCTTCAGTTCAGTGATGGTGCAAGGTGAAGACTTGGAAGCCAGTGAAGACCAGAATGTTCAGATTTTATTTCATTTAGAAGTTAAACCCGAATATGCGGGTTGATCTTGAGTGATGGTGCAAGGGGAAGACTTGGAAGTAAGTGAAGACCAGAATGTTCAAATTTTCTTTAATTCTGAAGAGTGTGACCCGAATATGCGGGTTGATCTTGAACCACAAAGTGTCACGTAGCATCTCAAGAAAGCGATAAATTTCAACTGGGATCAATTGGTCCTTCATTACAGAGACTTTTTCAAAATTTTGAGGTGACCGTTGATGAACCGGGTGTGATTACAGAGACGGAAGGGGAGAATGACCCGATGAGCACGTCAAAGTCTACAAGAAGAGTTAATTTAGAGGCCAGCATCAAAATGGAGTCCCCTTGTCGGAATTTAAACCGAATGGACCCATATTTGGTCTAGATTACAGTCCCTGCAGCCACTTTGGACAGAAAAATGCTTTGATGCTCTCGATTCCTTTCGCGCTTGATAAGGGATTCGTCGACGAAAGCCGCAGCAGCGGAATACTCCGTTATTCAAAGTAACCAAAGTTTAGTCAGAACGTAGATGCGCCGCCTCGTAGTGATTGCAGTACAGTACTTTGAAGTAGGTACTAAATAGGCTGGACTGCTCGTCGGTCTCGCAGCTAACAAAGCAGCACTTCACGCAGTGGTCATCGCCAATAAGAACTGGCAGTTCTTATTGGCGATGACCACTACGCAGGTTTTGAGTCAATAGTTACGTACATAGTTATATAGTCCTCTACTATACACCTGTCGCACCTCGCTAATTGCAAATCCTTACTTGCAAACTCTGGATCTGAGAAATCTCTGCACCCCACGCTACTGGGGAAGTCCCTAGACTCCCAACATATGTGCAAAGTCACTCTCTTCCTAGTGACGGCTTGTACTGCTATCATGAAAAGCAGTTATGATGAGAACAATAGGAGAACCACAACATAAAAAGCGCGATGAAATTTGTGATCATATACTGCGATAAAAGGGAGAGGCCGATGTTGCACTTACATCTCTTGATGTCTCCTGTTCAACCGTGTATCGAGCACTTCTGAATATGTAGACGCCCTGAAATTCATAGTAGTTCACTTTCCCAGAAGTTCAAATTGCAAAATCTCTACGACTGCTAATGCAATTACGTGTGTGTGTGTATATATATATGTACATACGTACATATATATATATATAATATAATATACACAAACACGTCCTACCTCAAACGTGCAGTTATGGAGGTGCGACTTGGCATCGATGTAAGATGTACCTCTGATGCAAATAAACAGGATGGGCAACTTTCCCTTTTCTCCATCAGCATGTATCTCTCCTTCGCGGACGGACAAATATCTGACACGTCTGAGTTGAAGGTCAATTGTTGTTAGCAGGGCATCTTCAAAGTCACGGGCTGACGCAGAAGCCCTCAAATTTCAAAACGGAAACAAATCGCTGCATGCTTAACGTCTGTTGCGAGCATTGCCCTATACTGTAGCAGACTGAGACTGCGTTGGTGTAAAGCTTTGAGAGCTCGAGAATCTTGCAATCGTAACGAGTATTAAATTGAAAGAATTTCGTAGCAAGTTACTGGTCGTGGAGGACTTCTTGTTGTACGTTTACAACTCCGGAGATTTGACGTGGCAGGAAATGAGTTCACACAAAGGGCTCTTCTCCATGAAAGCTCTCCCTTCATACCATACAAGGGCCGTCCACTGATGCTCCGATCTGATAAGACCTGCGAGTGCCTCAGGTGGAATAGACAATTTCAGTCTCTTCGGGCTTTTGAAAATCCTCGATTTCAGGAAGAATCAACACACCGTATGTTCGATTCGCCTTTTTCTCCTGCCTCGAATTACTTCTCAAATTTCTGTTTTCACCTTCGTCTTCACTGTTCAGCTTTGGACGTCCCTTGATTTTCTTCCTCTGACAGTTTCTCTTGTTTTGTCCAACTTTATCTGTGTCCTTCTGTCTGAGCGTTTCCCAGCTTAATTTTATTGCGTACGTTCCGATGCCCTCTCAACTCTCCTCAAAGCAATCAATCTGAGGGCGTCAAAAGCTTTTCACCGTAAATTCTGTCTATGCTGCAGCCCCTGGGAGAAGAGAGCTGCACACATGTGCTGTTCTTCTGACCTGTATGCAACAGAGTACGGGCTGACCGACCTCAAGCTCCCTTACACAGCTAGAGCTCAGAACAGGACTTAAATTTTGGGATCTCTTGATTACTCGAGTACGTACACGATGCTTACGGCTGCCCCTACCAATCCAGACGATGGAGGACGAGGACGAGGAGAAGGCTTCTTCACGAAGTGGCGCTTACTTGGGCTGACAATCGTCCTCCTCTGCCTAGTGGAATGGCTGGACAATCGAATTGTCAGCACCACTGTAATCAGCGTCGTTCCTGTCCAGTGGTCCAGAAATTCCTCCTTCATCTCCAGCAAAGTCGACGCTGAAGATCTAAATGACTCCGGTGACCAGAATGGGCTCCCTCCTTCTCGTCCTCACGGTACGCTGCTGCTGCAAGCTCTGAGGCGAACGAGATCACTCGTCACAAACGCGCGGCTGGAGAACATCAACGAGAAGGAGAAAGCGGAGTGGAACCGGAGAAATCCTTGCTCCAGCAGATGGGAACTGCAGACGATGTACGACGATAGAAGCCACAGCAAGAAATACCCGAGGGATCCGGCGTGGGAGCAGGTGATGGAAGAGTACTCGGAGCTTCACAGAGCGTGCACTCAAAGGGTGGGCAATGTGACAAAGTATTTTCTCGACAGGAAAGACAGCGTCCCCGGGTGCAAATTCGTCCTCGCCGACACAAATTCCGGAGCTGGACTGGGAAACAAAATCCTGGTCCTCTCGTCCGCCTTCGCCTTCGCCCTCGCCACCCAAAGAATCCTCCTGGTCGCCCATGAAACCCTTCTTACTGAATACACTTGCGAGCCCTTCGTGGGCTCATCGTGGTTCCTGAATTCCTCACAGCTGCTCTTGACTCGCTCCAGGAACCATACGTTCCAATCGGACGATGAATTCTTCTCGGAAATCAACAAACACTTTGCCTATTTCAAGCAGAACGCATCCTCGCAGCTAACAGCATCTGCGGCGGACAAGGGGAGGTATCAATCTCCAAATGTATCCTTTCCATGGCGGCCTCGAGACTTCGCCGTAGTCGCGTCCCCGGACACGGCTCACTTGTACCAGGCACTTCCTCGGTTCTACTGTGAGACGGAGCAGATGTACTACTCCCACGTCCCCTTCGTTTCGTGGAGCGGCTGCATAAACACGATTCCCAGGCTGTTCACCGTTCTGAGCTTCATGCCAATCTTCGAGGACCAATTCCCCGACAGAATGATTCTGACCAGAATCTTGAGAAGCGTCGTGCTCCCAGGAGATTCACTGTGGAGCAGGGTTAAGCACTTAGCACACGCATACTTATTCCGAAAGGACGGAGCTCGCCGGGTGGGCATTCAGATGCGGTTCAGGCGAGGCGGGATCAATGAGGCGATGGTGAACAGCCGCGTCGTGGATTGCCTATGGAGGGAAGGCATTCTGCCCAATGTGTCGCAATCTGTCGCCGAGGTCTCGGAGCGGAAGCAGACCCTCACGGACATTAAAAATGCGCCAGTGATCAAGGTATTCATCGCCTCGCTGAAGCACGGCTTGTACGAGCACGTGAACAACATCTACCTCAACAATCCAATCACGGCGTCGGGAGAGGACGTGAGCCTGGTGCAGCTCACGAGCTCCCAGAGGCAGCGATTGAACAATGTGGACGAAGACGTCGAGGCGTTCGCGGAGATTCTGCTACTCAGCTTCTCGGACCAGCTGCTGGTGACGCCCATCTCCACGTTCGGAGGCTTAGCGCAAGCGTATGGGGCCCTCGTTCCCTACTTCATCGAGTACCGAGATGACTTCCCCAATGGCACCAGGCGCGATGTGTGCCGGCGCGGCGAGACCGTCGATGTGGCCATGCAGGGCCCCGGCGTGGGCTGGTCCTGTCGCCTAGATCCCGTTCAAGGCGGTAATCTTATGGAGAGAGCGCCATACGTTCGGCCCGTGCTCGACATCGAGCTTTCCAACAAGTACGCCGGAATTCATCTCGTTACTGATTTCTAGACTGAAATCTCGAGAGCTTCGATTGGTTGGTTCGATAAATTAGTTGCTCGGCCTCGACGGATGGATTTATGTTAGCTGTCGCAATCTGCTGGCTGGCTGGCTGTGCACGCAAGTGATCGCGAGAAATAGAGGTGGCAAAGTTGCAGAGTTGCAGATGAGGACCCTTGCCAAAGCAGAAGAAGAAGGAGGAGGAGGCCGATGATTGCTGCTTCGTTATCTGGTGCGACTAGATTCCCGTTGGTCAATTTGACACACAATTCACGAGCTTGGTGGTGTAGAAACCTTGAGTTTTGTTTCCACTGCACGTGCTGGCGAGAGCAAGTGGCTGCTTGAGATTAACATGCTGCTCTGGAAAGATAACCTGGAAAGATAACCTGTCTTCCTGTTCGTGACATTTCCATCCCTCATAATTGCTTCACGCTTGGGTCTTGAAAAGTCTGTATTCAGGTTCCAGTATTGTATTAGTCAGTAGGTCACTTCATGTACTTCAAGCTCTGTGTTAGAATACTCATGACAGCGGAGAAAACCTGAATAACTGTACTTTATGTAGGACAGTATTCGTGGAGCTTTTTGAGAACAGCAAACTAGATCATCGTCGAGCATGCACGCCAAGCGCGCTACTAAAGATATAAAACCAGAGGAAGATTGTTGCTGTTGTTGTTGGACTCCTGAGGGCTAGGACGTCTAGATTTGACAGAGTGAAGGCATTCATCGGAAAAGAAGACGTCAAATGTATGGAAGGAATGACGAGGAAAACTTGCAAGAATTCAACAATGAGTACAAAACAGAAAGACGAAATAAAGATCAGCTTGTTGAATTCTTGCCAGTTTTCCTCGTCAAATATTCTAAGAAATAAATATCGGCTTCTTAATAGTATTTGGATATACAACTTGGTATGTAGAAACCTATGAAACATGTGATTTTTAATTTAATCAAAATAAATGAACATTTGACTTGTACATGCATTTGCTGCAAATACTAAATATATGAATATAATCACAGTGATGTGTCTAATCACACAATTATAAGATTATTTGACGATTATAATGGTATTATAATTTGATATATTAAACAAAATTGTATTGGTGTTCATCTTATATATCTTCTTGGAATTTACTTTGACTTAAACATTCATAATTCTATCGACCTAATAATATTGAATCTTTGAAAGTTCCACCAAGTTCCAAGTTTTTTGATTAATCAATATTTATATTTCATGATTCATAGCAATATTCTTTTAAGCTTATTGACAAAAATTTAAACTCTTTTAATTAAGATTTTCTGAGTAAAAAAATTTGTTTCAAAATCACCACATTGTTATCATTATCCTTAGTTTTAATAAAATGTATTTCGAAAATGGATAAATAAGCTCAAAATTCAAACATTTTGTATGAGAAGTGTAGACAATTATTCTTTATTTTAATGAAATGCACAAAAATATCCAAAAAATTATATTAAAAATAAATTATAAGCTACTATCAAATATTATCAAGTCATATATCCAAGTATATCAAGTTATATATTCAAACATTTTCAAATAATGTTGATCTTTAAAATATATTTGATCCGTTTGTGAATCCATCCAATTGATGTCAAGAATTTAATTGCATTAAAAAGTAAAAATCTTTCAAATATTACAATATAAACTTTTAATATATTATTTTTTATAAATATATTTCTTAAACATAGTTAACTTCAAACTCTAAAAGCAACATTTTGTTGCAAAGTATAAATCATGATATATTATCATGATTTATATAGTACTTTTTGTAGTATCTTCTAAATTATTGAAAAGTATAGTTTTCATCATTATTTGTGCATAGATCTTTCATATTGTGAGTTATAAAGAACTAGGAGTTTTGTCTGTGCAAATTAAATATGCTCAAATTTCAAGTAATCATCAATAAATGGTACCTAGTGAAACTTCTAAAAGTATCCAATCATCACAGATAGATCTAAAAATAATAACTTGAAAATTTGAGTTCCAACACGAGGATTTTTTTTAATGATTTTTTATTATAACACAATGGTAAATGGTAATAGACCAAGCCTGTGGGACCCAAAGGGTCAAAAGGCTGAAAAACACAATACAAGCAAAAACCACAAACAAGGTAAAAGATCCCAAAGGCCAATCCCTAGCTAGTAACAAAAGCACTAGAACGGTAACTAATAATGTTTTTTATGTAGCAACCTAAATCAAAAGGAACTAACTGTAAAAAAGAATATAAATTCTCCACATCTACATTATGAGCAAGCCTAATGTCTTCATACCTAGAACAAGTAACAAATATATATTTTTCATGCTCAATGTACCCACCGTCACATAATCTACAAACACGTTCACTCCTATCAATATTAAGCCACCGTACTTCTTCAATTTCAAGCCTATGAGATCCAGTTCTATTCTTAGCAATAATATGACGTAAGGACGTAGAGAGTTTTGCAAGTATGTAACATGTTCACAATAAAGAAAGCACAGGATTTAAGGTGATAAAACTGCATCTTAGTGTCGCGCTTGCTCCAAATAATATTCAAAAATTCCTTTCTTAGAAGTTCATGTAGTGCTATAGGTTGCAAGTCCCAATCGCGTTCCGTCACATTCCACCTCAAAGACCAAGTTATCACATCCGCTAACCATCCTTTGGCACGTGTGGCACTAAATGCTTAAGAGTAAGGCAAGAAGCATCAAAAGATTTCACACTTCTGATGTAAGTGATGATCAAGTATAGAACTTCAGCGTCTAGAGGTAAACAACATGTTTCTGCAAGAGAAAGAGCATATGGAGTTTGGTTTCTCACACACAATTTTTTTTGTAAAAATACCATCTCCACCCTCTTCACACGCTACCATCCTGTCAATGATCACAAAATTCAAAGTTAATTTTATCTAGATCAAGTAAACAACTTTTACAAAAGATTGTGAATATTTTATGTATCATGTGTGAATGTAAAAAGTCATACATGACTCAATTCAAATTGTAACTAATTTGATTTATTTTTGCAAAAACGATGTTTTTTGTACAGTGCTTTTATGCTTATGGAAATTGCAAACATTTGATCATTTTGAATATTCACTTTCTAATTTTCATTGAAATGTTTTTAAATGTAAAATTTCAAAATTATCAAGTTTTTTTTATCATATATCAATCTATCTTGAATCAATATATGTTAGATTTTATCACAAATTTAAATTTTAACATATTAATATATTCAATAACAAAATATTGATCATTTTTTTTGTCTAAAATATTTATCAAAAATTACTAATATATCAATATATTTATTTTGATGTATTGCATAGAATATAATTTTGATTTGATAGTTCATCATCAAGCAAGTCATACTAGTCATAGTAAAATTTATTTTTAATATTATTTAGATAACAATCAAGTAAAACATCTATCTTGTCTATGTTTTTTTTTTAATCTCGATTCTTAAACATATAAATCTTCAACACAAAATTTATTTGGCTACATTTGTTATTTAGTTGTTAAGTTTCTAGTTCATAAACATATGTATTGTACAACTTCAAATTAATAGTTGAATGAACACCTATAGTTTTACATATTTAGAACTGATAATTTATATGTTTGAGGTTGAAACTTGTTATCTCCTTAGTCTTTTGATTTTATCATTTTTTTCTCAGAAATAAACATTTTCATAATTGAGCCTCAAGTGATATAATTTTGAAATTTTAAAAAAAAATTTAGACATAATAATTATAGCTTCCAAAATTTTCACATCATCTGGAACAAACACTCACATTTTATAAATAACACTAGTTAACTATGAGCATGCAATACTCAATTATTTCGCTTTTTGTAGCATGATACTAGACTTCCAAAAAAACGAAATCTGTAAAATTTCAACCAATGTTAATCATTATCATCGCTCATGCTCAATGTGAACCTTCCATGCAGAAAAAAAAAATAGATTTTTAATTTTATAAGTTTTTTGAAGACCATTGCTCATAATCGTGATGTAAGTTTTTGCAAACTTGATATATTGACAAAAAAATTCATTAATCTTGAGATTATCTAAGGAATTAAAGTCTAGATTACAAGACACTCACAAAATTATATCTCAAATCTAATCTCATATTTTTAGATGAGATTTATTGTGGCAATTAGACTATTAGATTCATAGCAAACACTCCGATCGCGTAATGGCAAGAGAGAGATTATTGGCCTGAACTAAGAATTGAGTAGATTCTTACTTGTTCTTATATCAATTATTGGTTACACAATTGTTGTTAATAAATATTTTCCAATTTTATTAGAAAAACATAAACTTAACCAGCCAAATATGCATCAAGCTTATCATCTGATGCTTGATATTCTCCTGAACTAGACTCTTATGGAGTTTCTTAACTATCTATTTAAACTTGAAGCTCACTTCACGTATATACTTTGTAAGAATTATGATTATGATAAAATTATATTTATTCACTCTAATAATAAAACATATATAATATGATGTTCTATTATGAACCTGACAATGAATATTAAATATTTCTGAAAATATGATAAATTATTAGTATTAAATATGATTAAAAAATTTATATGTAGATTTTTTTCATATCTAATAAATTTTCATATTTTTTAATAGTTTTAAATAATAATTATTTTTAAATCATTAAAATTTAAAATTTATATTTGTACAAATATTTGATCAAATTGAGAAAGATATTAGAAATTTGGATGAAAAAATTTAAATAAATTTATTTTTAATATTAATTTTCATTAAAATCATGATAATATTTAAATTTATCATAATTTTTATTTTATTGAAATTTTTAAGATATCTCTTTGATAATGTCAAAAAAATTAAAAATTAAATAAAGTAGAAACCTTTGTATCAATTGTCTAACTATCTTGTAATTATATTTAAAACTCTAAAGTAAAAATAATCTGTATATCAGTTACAATTATAAACAAACAGCTATCTCATATCAAAAAATTTCAATATAAGAAAAACTTTACATTTAAAAACTAAAGTCAA